CACAAAGTTAAAACACAAACTGAGAAAAATGTATTTAACAATTATGAGGCTGTTAATCAAAAACTTTCCAGGTTGAAAGTTTTTCTGAAGGAAAAGGTTTATTGAGCCATATGCTAGCCAGAAAAAGAACCAGGTCATGGAGCATACAGTCTAAATCACCTCCAGCAGAGCTAGTGGAGAAGACAAGCATGTTTACTGTCCTGAAATTGACTGGGCTGTTTTAGCCAATGAGTTTAGAGAAAAAAGATAAATTATTTTGTAAGAACGCCAAGAATGATAAATACATGAGTAAATATAAAAGTATTTTTCTCATAATTTAAATCTTCTTAAAATATAATTGACTTCTTCAACAAAAATAATAATATATTGTGGAGTTTATAATATGTAAAAATTGAAATGTATAACATTGACATAAAGAACAGAAGGGGAGAAATGAAAATAAATCACTGGTATGCTCTTATACTATATGGTATACTATCACTTGAAGGTGCTCTGTGATAACTTACAGACGTATATTGCAAATGCCAAAGCAACCAAAGTTAGAGATATATATCATAAATACTAAAGAAGCCAAAAAAAGTTATAAACAACAGGCCAACAAAGGAAATAAATACAAATTATAAAAAACTCAATCCAAATGAAAGCAAAAAACGGTTAAAAATGATAAAAGAAGGGGGAAAACACCAAAACCAAATTGACAGAGAACAGAAATAGCAAGATGAAGATGATAGACATAATTTTAACCATATCAGTTATCACATTAAATGTAAAATGCACCAAACACCCTGATTTAAAGGTATAGATTGTAAGATTGAATAATAAGAAAAGAAAAAACTGTATGTTGCTGTCAAGAAATGAAATTTAGGGGCTGGCTGAGTGGATCATTGGTTGAGAGTTGGCTTGGGAGCGCGAGCTCCGAGCAGCAGGGCCACTGGTTCGGATCCCACATGGGCCAGTCACGCTGTACCCTCTACAGCTAAGATGGTGAACAACAGCTCGACCTGTTGCTGGGCTGCCGTGAGTAGCCGGCGATGGCATAAGCTGCAGTGGGCTGCTGTTAGCTACTGTGTGTGGCTGGCAGCCAGCATGAGCAGTCGGCAGCTGGCTTGAGCTGCCATGAGCTGCCGTCCAATGGCCGGCAACCAATCTGCCTCAGCCGGGAAGAGCACAATGATCACAATACCAACATGGGCCAAAGAAGTGATGTCCTCCACAACTAGACTGAAGAACAAAAGGACAGCAACTTGTCTGTTCCAACTTCCCTCAATTCCCCAGCGCTGTTCCCTCCCCCAATTCCCCAATAAAATCTTAAAAAAAACAAGAATTTTAAATACAAAACCAAAAATAGGTTAGAAGTGAAAGGATAAAAAAAATGCCATCCTAAAACAAGTCAAAAGAAAGCTTTAAAAATATATGTTAATATCAGACAAAGTGGACTTCAAAAGAAAGAATATTACAAGGTAAAAAGATAATTTCATAACAGATAAAGGGGTATTTTCATCAAGAGGACATACTATCCTATGTACTTATAAGAGAGCTGCAAAATACATAGGAGAAATATATAAATCCACAATTATACTTTGAGATCTCATATCCCCTATTGACTGAGTGTAAATGAATCCAAAGACTTTGCCTAGACATAAATGATAATGATTTATTTAAGGGTCTTAGGGTTTGTAAACCGGAAACACAACTAGGCAATACTCAGAATGTTCCAAAGAGGAAAGAAAAGTTAAGAGGTCTTATAGTAAAAAGTACATTATTGAGAAGAATCAATCTTGCATTCTTAGCCTCTGGATTGGTCTGAGATGGTAATCCTCTAGATGAGGGGTCAGCAAACTGCGGCTTGCAAGCCACATGCAGCTCTTTGGTTACGTTCTGTCTCAAAAGTTTGCCAACCCCTAGAAGAGCCAATCCTGTCCCTCAAAGTTTTGCGAGACCTATAAAATAAATGAAATCACCGTTACGTGAATATCTTTTAAAAAAATTTTTAAAAAAAGATTTTATTGGGGGGTTGGGGGGAGGGGAACAGCATTGGGGAATCGGGGAATGGGAACAGACTGGTAGACAAATTGTTGTTTTTGTTCTTCAGTCTAGTTGTGGAGGACGTTTCTTCACTGGCCCATGTTGATATGATCATTGTGCTCTTCCCAGGTGAGGCAAGCGGTTGCCAGTCATTGGTCAGCCACTCACAGGGCCACCCGGCAGCTCACACTGGCTGCCAGCCGCTCACGCTGGCTGCCGCCACTCACGTAGCTCACAGCAGCCCACTGCAGCCCTGCTGCAGCCTATGCCGTCACCAGCGACTCACAGTAGCCCAGCTCCAGGTCGAGTTGTTTGTTGTTCATCATCTTAGCTGTAGAGGGCGAGCGTCACTGGCCCTCAATGTGGGATCCAAACCGCAGCCCTGCTGCTCAGAGCTGGTGCTCCCAAGCGAGCTCTTAACCAGCTGAGCCACTCGGCCGGTCCTCTTTTAAAAATTCTATAAATGAAACTATGATAGTTTTATTTTCATTTTCAATTTTACTTCAGAGCCACATGTACGTACCCAAAGAGCCACATGTGGCTCACAAGCCACAGTTTGCTGACCCCTGGCGACTCTTCCATCTCCAAAATTTGCTGAACCCTGCTCTAGATGACTGGTGATCTGGATACTGGATGTCAGGTGGTCTGTATATGTGAACATTCTTTCCTTAGTTTTTCAGGGGGATAATCAGAGGGTTATCTGACGGTTTGATATGTATGCAGATGTTAATATAGGACTGGAAAATTCAAAATTTTAAGTTCCCAGGTTAGTTAAAACAAGAATAGAAGTGTTTTCTCGTGCCTCAACTTACTTGACAGTAGTTTAGCAGCTTGACTATAGTGACTCAATTTTATTTCTTCACTCTTCTATTCCTTATCCTTGTCAATATTTGATACAATAAATAGATAATCATCAAGAATATAAAAGATTGAAACAAAACATCAACCAACTTGACCTAATGTTCATATTACATTCTACACTCCAACAATAAATTACATTCTTTTCAAGTGCACATAGAACATTTACCAAAATAGACAATATTTGGGCCATAAAAGAAGTCTTATGAATTTAAAAGGGTTTAAGTTATTCAAAATATGCTCCCATATTGCAGTTAAATTATAAATTAATGACTGAATATATCTGAAAAATATCAAAATATTTGAAAAACACACTTCTAAATAATCTATGGGTCAGTAGAAATCAAAGTGGGAAATTAGAAGGTAATTTGAACTGGATGAAAATAAAACTACAACACATCAAAATTTATGAGATACCACCACAACTGCCCTGAGATGGAAAATTATAGCACTACACACTTATATAGCACTTATACAGCTTCCACCTTAAGAAAGTAGAAACATAAGAGCAAATATAACTAAAGTAAGCATAAGAAAGGAAAAAATACAGATCAGAGTGGAAATTTTGAAATAATAAATTTTTTAAAAACCAGGAAAAACTAGAGACAATCACTGGACTCCAAAGCTGGCTCTTGTAGAAGATAAACTAAATTGATAAACATATATCCAGAGAGACCAGGAAAAAAGAGAGGAGAAACAAATGACCAATATCAGGAATGAGAGAGTTACATCTCTGTAGATTCTATAGACTTTCAAAGTAAAAGAAAATATTATGAACAAAAATTTGTCAATAAATTCAATTTAGATGAAATGAACAGAGTCCTTATTGTATACTAAAACTCATTCAAAACATAAATAATCCAAAACCACTATTTATTAATGAAATTGAATTTATTTATAAAACTTTTCCACAAAGAGAACCACTTCCAGAGGCTTCACTGGTAACATAATAGTATCAATTCTACACAAAACTTTTCAGAAAATTGAAGAGGAAAGATTTTTCCAATTCATTCCATGAATCCAGCACTAGTTTGACATGAAAGTCAAAGACATTACAAGAAAATAAAACTATAAATCAGTATTTCTCATGACATATGTGCAAAATTTATAAACTAGATTTTAGCAAATTTAACCCAATTATATTTTTAAAAGAATAATATATCTTGGGAGCTCCAGTCTTAGACACATGCAGCCAAGTGGGGCTTATCCAAGGAATGAAAGAATGGAGATCAATCTATTGTGATTCATTATATTAACAAACAAAAAAAGAAAAACCATATAATCATCTCCATAGATACAAGAAAAGATTTGACAAAATCTAACAACCATTTATGATAAAAAATCTGAGCAAACAAGTAACTGAAGGTAACATTTTTAATTTCATAAAGGACATCTTTGAAAGTTTCACAGCTAACATCATTCTTAAAAGTGAACTACTGAATGTTTTCCCCCTAAAATTGGGAACAAGGCAAGGATGTCCACTCCCAGCACTTCTTTTCTACATTATTCTAGAAGATCTGCCAGTGTATTCAGGAAAGAAATAAAATAGTTGACTTCTGAAATGGCAACGTAAGGGTTTCCATGGAACCCCTCCTTAGTGAAAGAACCCTCTTTGGTGAAAATTATTTTTAAAAAACAACCAGTTAAAGTTTCTGGAAGTTGTCTTAGGATCATACAAAAGTAAAAACCTATTGAAGAAAATCTACTAAATCTCAGCAATAACAGCAAGAACCTGTGGCGTTTGAACCATGAACCCTTCCTCCCACCAAGTTCAGCATAATGGGAGGTCCAATCTTAGGCATGTGTAGCCAAGAACATAGGGCTTCTCCCCTCATCTCCTGTCTCCCTGGAAAGGAAAAGCACCAGAATGTCTCATCATGAATATATATATATATATATATATATATATATATATATATACATACATATATATTTCTCCTGCTTGCAGGATAAAGAAAAGGTTTCATGCCAGGTGAAGCAAGCCAAGAAGACCAAAGAGTACGATCCCCAGCTAGAGGCCTGCTTTTAAACTGGTGTGTCATTATGAGAGAATCGGGCCATTGTTTTTGTCCCATGTTGCAGAACAATGGCAAAAGTGTTCTTTTATTTTTCCCCAGGTGGAGGAGGAGACCATAAGAACATAGAGCTTTGAAGCTCTCTTCACAGAAATTGACTTTGTTTGGAACAGAGTGGGGAGAAGTATAAACCTAAGGAAACTGTTGAAAACAACAGAAATCTTGGATGTTGTCAATTAAGGGGAGGATACTAGTAACTCCATGGGAGAAACAAGTTAAACAATAGACCAGCTGGAAGTTTATCAGAGAAAACCAAGCAAAGAGATTGCTGTGAAAAATGCTCCTAAAATCAGAATGAATCTGAAAGGCTGGCCTCAAAGATTACAGCTGTAAAGTGGCCTAAATTTAATTGGATCACTGAAGAGCAATTTTTGCACCAGAGCACTGTGGAAAACAATAACTCCATCAGCTAGAAATTAGTAACAACTAACCAACAGAGGCAGACAATAAGGAGATTGGGGGAAAGACAGTCAAAGATAACCTTGCTAGAAACATTTTATTCTAGAGTAGCTGTATATGCCCAAGGCTGCACCATCTGAGGAACATCTGAAGCTGAACACCGCAGGGGAAATGAACTTCACAATAATAGCCCAAACTAAGCAAACATGTCACTAAACAAACAAGCAAAAAACAATAATATATGCTGGTTACGGGGTCATATCCACAGTGGCTACAATGTATTATCTAAAATATTCAGTTTTCAACCTGAAACAAAAATTATGAGGTGCAAAAAACCCCCAGGAAATTGTGACCATACATGAGAAAAAAATTCAGACAACAGAAACTGCCTTTGGAGGCTCAGATGTCAGATTAACTAAAACTTTAAAGCAGCTATAATAAATGTGCACAAAGAACTAAAGGAAGTCATATCTAAAAAGTAAGGGAAGGTACAATGACAATATCTCATCAAATAGAGGATATCAGTAAAGAGATAGAAAAGAACCAAATAGGAATTCTGAAGTCCTAAAGTACATTAACTAGAGTGAAAAATTCAATAAAAGGGTTCAATAGTAGATTTGATCTGGCAAAAGAACCAGCAAACTTGAAGATAGCTTGATATAGATTAAGCAATCTAAGGAAAAGAGAAAAAAAGAATGAAGAAAAATAAATAGAGCCTTAGTGAAATATGGGACATCATTAAACACACCAGCATACCTTTTAACAAAAGTACCAGAATGAAACAGGGAAGGAGAAAAAACAATTCAAAGAAATATGGCTGTAAACTTCCCAAATTTAGTAAAAACCTTAACCTACACATTTGAGATACTCAATGAACTCCAAGTGGGATAAACATAAATGATCCACACCCAGACATATTACAGTAAAAAATGTTGAAAAACAAAGATGAGGACAAAATCTTAAGAGCACCAAGAGAAAAATGACTCATCATATACAAGGGAGCCTCAATAAGATTTCTCTTCAGAAACAATAGAGATCAGAAGGTAGGGGCATGACATATCCAAATCGCTGAAATGAAAAAAAATACCAGGAAAATTGTGAAAATCCAAGAGAATTCCACCCATACTGGTGAGACAGAAGGCGGCTGGAAAACCCGGATGTCTGGTATAGGGCCAACATACAGACTAACTTGGTTTGAAGAACTCAGCTGGGATCCAGCAGAAGAGCAGCAACTCAAAAGGTGCCAGAGACATACAGGAAAAGACTGATTTGTGTGGCTTCAGAACAAGAGCTAAAGGGACAGCTGCCATTTATCCCTTTGTGGAGTTGAATCCTCCCCCATGGCCAAATCGGAGACCACATTGGCTTATGAACTCTGGGTGCATCCCACCTAGGTGACTCCCTGAGACTCCACCCCACTATCTATCTTACGCAGCATCGATGGGGGCACTCTCGGCTCCTGAGCAGCAAGCGCCAGCCACCCTGCAAGCTGCGGGAGGCTTTTTTTTTTTTAAGATTTTATTGGGGAATTGGGGGAAGGGGAACAGATAAGTTGCTGTCCTTTTGTTCTTCAGTCTAGATGTGGAGGACGTTGCTTCACTGGCCCATGTTTGTATTATCATTGCGCTCTTTCCCGGGTGAGGCAGATCAGTTGCCGGCCTCTGGATGGCCACTCACAGTGGCTCTTGGCAGCTCACACCAGCTGCCAGCCACTCACGGTAGCTTATGGCAGCCCACTGCAGCAGGGGCTGCAGCCTACCCCATCGCCAGTGACTCACGGCCGCCCAGCTCCAGGTTGAGCTGTTGTTCACCAACTTAGCTGTAGAGGGCAGTGTCACTGGCCCTCATGTGGGATCCGAACCTGGGCCCTGCTGCTCAGAGCTGGTGTCCCAAGCCAGATCTTAACCAACGCACCACACGGCTGGCCCTGCTGGAGGCTTTTACAGCAATGGATGCCCCAAGGTAGCCTATGCAGCTGTCTAGGAAACTTTTGTTTGTCAAGCCCAGCTCATACGGCAGCCTTTTTTGGACAGTTCTCAGAGATCTGTTGTGGGCCCAAGGTGAGTGGCTGTGGCCCACAGTGTTTTCCAGGTGTTTTGAGGTGTGGCCACAGTCTCAGCACTGGTGCAAAAACTGAATCTGCATTAACTTTGTGAACACCACCTGTTCCACATGGTGACTCTCTGGAACCCTGCCCCACTCAACTTGGATGATATCACTGGGGGCACTGTCAGGACTGCAACAGACAGCCAGCCCTATGTACCTAATGAGGCCTTTTGAGTGGCTGAGCCTTATGAGCAGCTTGAAGGGTGCCCTAGGCATTTTGCTAAGCTGTCTTGGGCCTAATACTGGTGGCAGCCAGCTGGCCTTGTTTCATAGTGAGACCAACCTCACCTGTCACCAGGTTTAGCACAGGCAGCAACAAACCACATATAGCTTTGTATCTCATATCACGTAGCCCTGGGCCAGTCACAGGCAATGGCTGAAATTGACCTGCACAGGAGCCCCTCCCAAAGGACACCAGAAATATCACACCCAGAGGCTGGCTTCAGACAATACCAGATCACTGCCTGATTTGCTCCACAAATGGCGCACCCAAAGGATGGTATCAACAGGCACAAAAGCCTGCTGTGGCAAATCCTCCGCTGAGGGGTCAGCCCCCACACAGCAGCTTATATGTTGTGGGCTTAACCAATCCTCACAGCCAGTTAGCTTGAGACTCAATCCCACCTGCTGATGCACCAAAAGAAATAAAGGCTCAACTACAACAAGAGAGCATGCAGAATGCACACAAGGGACACTCTTGCACACAGTGCAGGTGATCAAGGAGACTATTCATTGGAACACATAGGACACCTACTACATCAGGCTACCTGGCAAAGACTGAGAAACATACTTCTACCTAATACACAGGAATAAACACAGAGAAGCGTCAAAATGAGAAACAAAGAAACATGTCCCAAATAAAAGAATAGGAGAAACCTCCAGAAATAAAACTAAATGAAATGGAGGCAACCAACCTACTAGAGTTTTAAACACTGGTTTTAAGAATGCTTAAGGAACTTAGGGAGAACTTCAACAAAGAGATATTATGCATAAAGAAGGACATAGACATCATAGAAAAAAATCAGTCAGAAATAAAGAATACAATAACTGAAATGAAGAATATGCTAGAAGGAATAAATAGCAGATTAGATGAAGCAGAGGAATGAATCAGCAATTTAGAAGACAAGGTAGCAGAAAACACCCAAGGAATAAAAAAATGAATATAGTTTAAGGGAACTCTGGGACAACATCAAGCGCAACAACATTTGCATAATAGGAGTACCAGGATGAGAAGAGAGGGAGAAAAGGATCAAGAACCTATATGAAAAAATAATGACTGAAAACTTGCCTAACCTAGTGAAGGAAATAGACATACAAGCCCAGGAAGGGCAGAGAGTTTAAACAAGATGAACCCAAACAGCCCACACCGAGACATCTTAATTAAAATGCCAAAAGTTAAAAACAAAGAGGGAAATCTAAAATATTGGGTTGTCAGAAATACAGTGCAGTGGTCAGGTCTCTACACCGACTATGAAGTGGTCTCCCTAATAAGACGTGAGTCCATCTGGCCCCCTAAAAAATATTTACAACATTATTGATTATAGTCCCCAGACTGTCTTTTCTATCACTGAGGCCATTTTGTAGTTACCAGTTTGTATTGTCTCGTCCCTTCCCCTTCTCCTTCATCCCACCCCCCACAACTAGCAACCCTCAGTTTTTCCTCTGTGTCTCTGAGACTACTTCTGTTTACATTTCTCATTTATTTAGTTTTTTTAGGGCCTGACCACCGCACTGTATTTCTGAAGCTGATGTTGAATAACATTGTATGTCAACTATAATTATATAATGACTATATAATACATATAGTCATGGGACGTGGAATAGAGTGTGGAAATGCAGTCAATGGAGTTGTAATAGATAAGTATGATATCGGAGGTGGAAGGGCAGTAGTTGGGGAAGGGGGTTGTTTCTGTGTGAAGGGTGAAAAGGATAACTATTGCATTATTCTGTACACCTGAAACTAACAATAAAAAATTTTTAAATTAAATTTATTGGAGTGACAATTGGTTCATAAAATTATATAGGTTTCAAGTGTACAATTCTATAATACATCATCTGTATATTGCATTGTGTATTCACCACCCAAAGTCACTTCTCCTTTTATTACCATATATTTAACCCACTTTACCCTCTTCTACCACCTCTTCACCCCCTTACCCTCTGGTAACCAGTAATCTGTTTTCTGTGTCTACAAAAAATATATATATATATTGGGTTGTCGGAAAAGTCATGATGCATTTTTGCAACAAAAAACATAGAAAAAATATGTCATGACTTTCCCGACAATCCAATAGCAAGAGTGGCAATTAGGCACTTACAAGAGAACTCTCATAAGACTATCAGCCAAATTCTCAACAAAAAGTTTACAGGCCATATGAGAGTGCCAAGAAATACTCAAAGTAGTGAAAAGCAAAAACCTACAACCAAGATTACACAGCAAGCCTATCATTTAAAATTGAAGGAGATAAAAAAATTAAATAAATAAAATAAAATTGAAGGAGAGATAAAGAGCTTCCCAGACAAGAAAAAGTTAAAGGAATTAATTACCACCAAGCCAATATTACAAGAAATGTTAAAGGGACTTTTTTAAGCAGAAGAAGAGGGAAAAGAAACAAATAAACAAAACAAAAACCATAAAACATATGAATAATAAAATGGCAATAACTATGTACCTATCAATAATCACTTTAAATGTAAATGAATTAAATGTTACAATCAAAACATTGAGTAACTCAATGGATCCATGCATATGGTGTCTGAAGAGACTCACCGCATATCGAAAGACATACATAGACTGAAAGTAAAGGGATGGGGGTCGGCCAGTAGCTCAGTTAGTTAAGAGCGTGAGCTCTGAACAACAGGGTCGCTGGCTCCATTCCCACATGGGCCAGTGAGCTGCACCCGAGCTGAGCTGCTGCTGAGCTGCCAACAGGTGGCAGGATGGCTCAGCTGGTGAGAGCATGTGCTCCTAACAAGAGGGTTGCCAGTTCAACTCTGCATGGGATGGTGGGCTATGCCCACCCACAACTAAGATTGAACATGGCACCTTGAGCTGAGCTGCCCTGAGCTGCCGACAGGTGGCAGATAGCTCAGTGGTTAGAGCGTGCGCTCTTAGTCACAAGGTTTCCAGTTCGACTCCCACATGGGATGGTGGCTATGCCCCACACAACTAAGATTGAAAATGGCACCTTGAGCTGAGTGGCCACGAGCTGCCAATGGCCGGCCGGATGGCGACTGGTCTTGGGAACTGAAGCTACGCCCTCCACTAAGACTGAAGGACAACAACTTGGCTGTTCCCCTTCCCCAGTTCCCCAATAATAAATAAAAAAACTAAAAAAAAAATCTAAAAAAATAAAGGGATGGAAAAAGATATTTCATGCAAAAGAAATGCTGGAGTAGCAATATTTATATTAGACAAAATAGAGTTTAAAATGAAGACTATAATAAGAGACAAAGGAGAACATTACATAATGATAAAAGGATCAATCCAACAAGAGGACATAACCCTAGTAATCATTTATGCACCCAACATAGGAGCACTGAAATATATAAACAAATAATGACCAACATAAAAAGATAGTCCTCTACAATTATAGTAGAGGACTTTAATATGCCATTGATAACAATGGACATATTTTCCATACAGAAAATCAACAAAGAAACAGCAGATTTAAATGATACACCAGACCAGGATGTATTTAATTGATATTTTTTGAGCATTCCACCACAAATTAGCAGAATGTGCATTTTTTTCAAGTGTACATGAAACATTTTCCAAGATAGGCCACACATCAGGCAACAAAACAAGTCTCATAAATTTAAGAATGTTGAAATCATATCAAGCTTCCTCTCTGACCACAATAGTATAAAATTAGAAATCAATTACAAAAAAAGGCCTATAAAACACACACACACACACACACACACACACACACACACAGTCTAAATAACATGCTACAAAACAATGAATGGGTTATTAAAGAGATGAAAGAAGCAATCAAAAGACACCTTGAGACAAATGAAAACAAGAACAAAATGAGTCAATCTATGGGACACAGCAAAAGCAATCCTAAAAGGGAAATTCATAGCAACAGAAGTCTACCTGAAGAAACAAGAAAAGTCTCAAATAATCCAACTTCACACTTAAAGGATCTGGAAAAAGAACAGCAAAAAAGGCCCAAAGAGAGTAGAACAAAGAAAATAATAAAGATCAGAAATAAATGAAATAGAGTGTTAAAAAAATACAAAAGATCAATGAAACCAAGAGCTGGTTCTTTGAACAGATAAATAAAATTGACAAACCTTTAACCAGACTCATCAAGAAAAAAGAAAGATGACCCAAATAAATAAAATTAGAAATGAAAGAGAAGTGACAGTGGACACCACAGAAATACGAAAATTATTAAGAAAATATTACGAGCAATTACACACCAACAA